CTTCTCCAGAGACCAGCCCAGGACCTGTCCAGCTTCCTCTGGTGAGTGTGAACAGGAACTGAACTAAGTGACTCATTTCATCACGGCAGCTCGGCTCGAAGTCAGATTTCTTCATGCGGCGCACTTCTCAGCAAAACTGACAGGGAAAAAAAGCAGAGCTGACACAGAAATAAAAGTGAAGTAAGGAAAAAAGAAGGGGAAAAAAACAGAAGCAGATACTGGGAAAGAACTGCAGGTTTGAAAAGAGATATTGTTACTCAAGAGGGAAAGGATGAAAGCTCCACAGTTAATTCTCTGATATGTATAAAACTATTAAATGTTAGTCACCCCTTTTCTAGTCACTGCTTCAAGATAAAAAAAATAGTTTAAGAGAAAACATTAAAAGAATGACTAAACTTGAAAGCAAATTGTAAGCTAATAATGTTCAAAAAGTCACTGTACAGACAAAACCTGCTGTAGTGCTGCCTCCTAGTGGTTAGGTTTATATTGACACTAAAATAGATACAGTAGGTGTGTACAAGCTGTGACTCTGCCATGCTGGAGGGCAAACAAAACCCTTTAAAAGATGATTCATGTGGTCTGAGATGTTTTTATCTACGATATTTTATTTATTTACTGACTGTAAAGTAGAAAAGCAACACAAAAGTTTAATTAAATTAAGATGCCAGATAAAACCTGATAACGTGAGTGTTTTCATCAAAATCTGGCATCGCGTGATGAAGTGAAYGAGTCTACTGTTTTAAAGATATTTATTATCAGAAGAATCTACATAGCTGAAGCTGTTATTTCATGAAGAGAGTGCACAGGGGAACATACTGCCAGCAAAATGACTCAAGCTACTGTAATTCGGTGCTGTTGAAAGGCCTGCCTGACTAAGATTAGTCCGCCGCTGCTGCTGCCTTCATTGCTCGGACAACTTGTCGTGTTTCTTCTCCTCGGTTAATTCTGATTGGAGGAGTTCTGAACCAGAATTTTTGTCTCTGCCAGCCCTACGTGAGCAGCTAAAAACAGTCCAACCTTTGACCATGGTTAAAGAAAACCAGACCACTTTGTGCTCTCTGTAGTCATTGACACGTGTCAAACTCAAGACCTGTGGGAAAAATGTGGCCCCCATTAACATTTTATCTGGCCCCAAAGGTTATATTTGAGATGTAAAATAGTTTTACCGTTTCTCTTTTTCGTCACCATATTTAATGCATTATGACAATAGTCAATTTTAATTTTAAAGTAACTGGATTTTTAGTGAGGCTTTTTTTTTTTTTACAAATTTGCTGGATTGTAATAAAATGCATGTCTAAAAAATAATGAATAAATAAGTTGTTAGAGTGTAAGGCTTAAAAAAATTAATGGAAATGATGTGTCTTTTTAAATGTAATAAGTTTTAGCTGTTAGCTTGTACATGTTCTAAATACAACATAACTTTTGATTGATTGATTGATTGATTGGTTGGTTGGTTGGTTGGTTGGTTGGTTGGTTGGTTGGTTGGTTGGTTGGTTGGTTGATTGATTGATTGATTGATTGATTGATTGATTGATTGATTGATTGATTGACTGAATAACCTTTATTGTCATTGTACAAAGCACAATGAAATTACAGTTCAGAACACCCAGTCACAAGAAAAATAAACATAGGAGAATAGGTGCCCTGGGGTCAGGCAGCCATTGACCCCTGCACAGAGCAAGGCTCAAAATCATGAAAGGACAGAAGGTGCTACCCTTAAAAGAAAAACTAAATACCACATAAGGATAGATGAGGGGAAAAATGAAAAAGGTCTTTTTTTCAATAGGAATAATTTTTGCATAACATTTAAAACCAAGTTTGTTTTTTCAATAAATATTGACAGAAATTGTCTCTTGTGAACCCCCTTGTGTAACTGTGTTTGACATCCCCGCTTTAACTTAATATAGTGATATCATCCAACATGGCAGTTAGCCCATGAAAAACTGACATCAATCCAGCACTCCAGATTAACCACATTTTTATTTAATTAGTTTACATAAAAGCAAAAAAATCTCTCTAAAACTGAAATAATTAATAAATAAAACTCTCCAATGCACTTTACTTTAAGCATAAACATATATGTTTATAATTATTTGTATAAACTCATCATTATTGTGAAGCTTGACACTTTGTAGACTTCAAAAAATAACCAAAAGAAGTACTTTTATTTTCTTTTGTCAATTCATGCAATTTTTATTCACACATAATCTTCAATCTGAAATGGCTGAATAACTTTGGGCCCTGCGATTCCAGGTTTGCAGGAAACATGGACCGTATCGCAGCCAAAAACCTGCTAATGTCGCGCTCTGATGGGACCTTCCTGGTGCGACAGAAAGATGGAGGAGAGTTTGCGATCAGCATCAAGTAACTACTTTTTATTTATCTGTTTGACAAAAACGTGGGAAGCAGAGAGACGATAAACTGAGCTTAGCCTCATTTGGTTAAAAACTGTTTGTTTCTACAATATTTCCTCTATATTTACATGAAGCGGTTCACACGAGACAGTAAAGGGAACTTATCTCTGCCCCATCAGGACACCACATGTGATACTGAAGCTGCAGCGGTCTGCTGAATCAGTCAATCCCATAGACGCGTTTGGCTTTTCTTTTTTAAGGTTGAGCAAAAAAAAAAAGGTTTTTGTTATTAATATGAATCTACGGTTTGATGCAATGTATACACACAAAAATAAACTCATGTCAGGTTTATTCTGTCACACAAACTTAAAGTACAATTTAGTTGTATTACCAGTAATTAAGTTTGTTCTGGAAAGTAATYGTCATAAATTATATGTATGTTTGTATTTATAACTACACTATTCCCATATAGCTATGTGTATTTATTAATTGCCATGAAAGGCGAGCAGTCATGCCATTTAACCCAATTTAAGCTGATTGACTGTAGCAAACACAAAAATAGCTGTAGCTCAATCAGTTTTGAAGATATTGTTGTAAAATATGAGAGTCAAAAATTATACACCAAGCAGTAACAGGTTTGAGTTTTGTGCCACACAAGATTATGTTAAGATTTGACAAAAAAAGGCTCAAAATCACTTTTTTTAAGCCAAGATGATTTTAGTTTAAAACTTTACCATGTATGCTATGTTTTCATGTGTGTTCATTTAGTAAATGTAACATATGAACAGTTCATTGTTTATTTGAACTGTTCATTTTATACTCTAAATCAGGGGAGTCAAATCTGGTCTTCAAAGGCCAGCATCTTGCTTGTTTTACCTGTTTGTCTGCTCCAACTCACCTGATTCAGTGATTCAGTTTCCTGTTTGAGTTCTGCAGAATTTTGTTTATCACCCATTCATTCAAATTAGGTGTGTTGGAGCAGATAAACCTCTAAAACATGCAAAATAGCGGTCCTCCAGGACCAGGATTCTATTTGTACGTTAAACGTATTTAAAATGAACTCAAAGGTTGAAGCACGATTATTTTCTGAGAAGTTAAAACATTTGGAAAGAGGAAAGATCCAGTCCTGTAAAACAGACCACTGGAAGATCTGAATGAACTTCCTGTTCACAGGGAAGCTGACCAACCTGGTGATGGTTCACTTTTTCTCAGAAGTAGGGAAACTCACCTCTCCTGACAACATTTTCACACACGCAGCTGTTTTATTTTATTTATTAATTTTTTTTGCAGAACTGGATTTTCCCGTGAGTCGAAACAATAAACTTTCCATCTACTGTTTATATTCTCAAACCCAAAAGTTGATGACAACAAACTTGTCAAATAAAATATTTCCACCGAATTATCTTCCTATCTCATTCATCCGAGAGTAAAGTCAAAATAGGATTATTTTATTTTAACTTGAAATGATGCTTTAAAATGATTTCTTGTCACAAAATATTCCTCTTTTCATTCTTACTGAAGTTGATTAAGCCTGTCTGTGCTCTCCAGGTTCAACATGGACATCAGACACATTAAGATCACCAGCTCCGAGGGCCTGTACCGCATCAACGAGAAGAAAGCATTCAAGAGTCTTGTTGTGAGTTTTACTCCCTCGTCAGAATGAAACGCTCACACCAAATGAACGCCGGGGACGTGTGCCTGACATCATCTCCTCTTTTTCACCACAATGCACGTTTCTCATGACTGTCTCTTGTTTCTGTCTCGTGTTTCAGGAGATGATTGAGTTTTACCAGAAGAACTCACTAAAAGAATACTTCCGAGACGTGGACACAACACTGCATACACCTTACAAACAACCGGAGCAAAGCTACTCATCTAACAACACACCCAACTCCACACCGGGTACAGAAACTTTTTATAACCTGCCTTATAAAACATGCTTAAACAGAGAAATTCTGTATTTTAAAAGGAGACTAATGAGAAGATTAAAGCAATAGTTCAGATCTGTGGAAACTAATCGAGAGCTAATATCTTACCTGTTGTGGATAGCTCTTTGAATGGACTCAGTTTGGAGAAATAAAGTTCAGTTCTGACTTTACTGATGAGCTAACAGCTAGTCTTAGCAAGACCGTAGTGGTGGTGGGGTCATTAACTGTGGTGGGCACAGTTCCCCTAAATCACTAATAGGGGAACTAATTTCCTGATTAGTGCTTTAGGGCTTTTGCTAATTTTTTTTAATTTTTTTAGCACTTGCTAAATTTATAGGCTAAATTTAGAAGCACTAACTGAGGTCTATAAATGTTATTGATCAATGTTAATGTTAACAGCTGAGGGTGAAAGATGTCGCACATTTTGTTTATATGTGTGTCACTTATCCACCAGGTGACAATATATTAACAATATATGAACCCAAATACAGCTGTGGAACATCAATGATAAGTCTTAAGAGAGCAACATGACAAYATGTGACTCATGTTGTCTTTTGAAGAATGTTCATGGGTTGACTGGGTTATTTTAGTGCTTTAGAATTAGCTTTTGCTAAATTTTTCAGTGCGTTAGTGCTTTAGAATTAGGGGACCTAAATATTTGAGTTAGTGCTTTAGGGCTAGTRGAACTAATTTTTAGATTAGTGCTGCCCACCACTGGTCATTAGGATCTATGCTGGCCTGGTTCACATGTGAAATGTTTTAGTCACACGCAGTCAGCTTCACCCCAATATGCCCCTCTTATGTGAACCAGACCAACCACTATCCTAAATACACCTCAGGATGGTGAAAAAGGGGAGTCATTTGCAAGTGAAAATAACAGCAGTATCTAGCTATAGCACTTCCTCCTGGTTTATTGATCAGAATATTCATGCAATGCAAAACTGATGGCAATGAAAATGTTTGTAATGTAGCGCTCACATGAGTCTTTTCAAACTGAAGCTGTTTTAAAACAGCAATAATCCTGTTTGATCTAAACCCTTATTCAGAATAGCCATTAGCTCATCAATATGGTTCAATTAAATGTAATTTCTCCAAATGAATGTTAATAAAAGTGCTATCTACAACAGGTAAGCTATTAATTGTTCATTTTTGCACAGAACCCTCCTGTGTTCTGTATGCAAATTTACGACGAAGTATTAGGGCCCCACACAACGAGATTTTTTTTTATTATTATTACGAGATTAAAGTCGTAATTTTATGAGAACAAAGTCAAAATATTACAAGATTAAAGTCGTAATATTTCGAGAAAAAAAGTCATGATCTTACATGACGTGTCCATTTTCCATTCCTCATTTACTCCTTATTTTCCCCACACTTGCTGTGTACAGCCATGGGTCTGTGTTTATAAAGTAGTCTGTGATGACTCGGGTCACTGTTAGATTAATACGCTTTCATCCAAATTAGCTACGTGCTGACTAAATCTGTCAACGCATGCTTCAGTTTATCATATAGTCGTTTGCACAATTTCCAAGTCCTGCTACTGATAATTTGATGCTAATGTGCTAAAAGATTAACTATTTATTTCAAGCAATACTACAGAACAACTGGACAAGTTGCTCAACATTCCTCATTTTAATGCTGTGGTAACGGCATGCTTTTACGTGTAAAGGCTAGAATATTATGACTTTTTTCCTCATATTATGACTTTATTTTTATATGACTTTAATGTTGTAATATTATGACTTTATTCTCGTAAAAAATATATATATTAAAAAATCTCATTACGTGGCCCTAATACTCTGTCATACAAATGAAATCATGGAGAGGTTTTTAAAAACCCATTTCAATCAGCTTCAGACTGTTTCTCCATGAATGACATGCCGACATAATAGTGGAGAGGATTTCTTCCCCGAAATATCAAACGACCCATGCGGCCCTCTGTCCCACAGGCGGCAGCATAAGAAGCCTCGGTGTAGCGAGGGCTCGGTACGACTACTCCGCCAGGGACCGCTCCGAGCTCTCACTGCAGGAGGGGGACACCATCAGGATCCTCTCCAAGAAGGGGCACAGTGGCTGGTGGAGAGGAGAAGTGTACGGCCGGGTGAGAATCTCCGAACACCTACCTGCAGTTTCCAAAAAGTATAAATTCAAAACATCTAACCTGTACCCCCCGTCTGTTCCCAGGTGGGGCTCTTTCCTGCCAACTATGTGGAAGAAGATTTCTCTGATTACTGCTGACGTGCTCCTTGTGTGTGTGTATGAAATGGTCTGTGTGCATTAAGTGAGTGTGACAGGGTGTGAGTGTGAGCGAGTGAACAGGTGCAGTAGAACTACTGAACAACCCAGTGCTGTGAATAAAACTTTTACTCAGCCAACCTCAACAGTCTAGTTTCTCATTGAGTTCTGGTTTTTGATGCTGATTAAAGTCAAGCATTCTTTAAAGGACTGCATCATACCACTCGCCACCTACCGTGGGATGAAGTTGTAACCACTTTGATCAAACCTTGTTAAAAACAAAGCTTTATATGTACCATGTCATGAAATAAAATCCGGTAATGTGTTCAAAATGACCCTTAGCTACTACCACACTAAGTTTTATCTCAATATCTGTAAAACCGATTAACTTATAGCTGTTTTTGTTTGCTTAGCTATCAGTTAACTCTGGTGGCCATCTTCAAGGGGTGACATCCAATGTTAATCAGTTGAAGACAGACATCCAGATATTTTGCCAAGAGGCAAACAGGGTTGATGTCAGAGCTTTAAATAATTTGTGTAATGTTCAGAACATGTTAGAGGTGACTCTGACCTACTACACCAAACTTCAGCTCAATATTTATAAAATCAGCAGAACTAAAGACATTTTTGTTTCCTACGGTCTGAAGTTACCAGTTTGTAGAATCATAAATCCAATAGTTCCATTGTAAAAGTTTTGTACTTCTAGAGGTTTATTAAATATTTTGCTAAGACAAACAAGCACAGTTACACATTATCACCCTTGTGCCTTCAGTGGTGTGTGATGAGAGTACAGGGCTAAACACCACCCACCCTAAAACAAATATCAGCTTAACTGACAACGAAACAAAAAAATATATAAATTATTCAAATTTGGACTGAATGTGCTCAGTGTTTTAAAAATGCTCTTTAATAATATGGATAATTAAACTTTCTTTTAGCTCAGTGCAAACTTCCACCAAAGGAGTAAAGTTCTTTTTAAGTTAGACATAAAAACATTTCAGCAAACTTACAATAACGACCATCACATTGTCTTGTGGGTAAACCAGATTTATTTACAAAATAGCAAAATAAAAATAATTTCAGAGAAATAACATGGTTTTACTCTGATCTACATCAAATCAGTTGTGTTTTCTGCTCTGTAGATGGAGCTCTCGTTCAGCCGTGCTGTGATTTGTGTGGTCTCCCGCAGCAGATAGGTGGATCTGTTTTGTCTGTGACAATTTGGAGTTGGGTTTGTCTGAGCATCTTTGACTTTTGGTCCTCCTCTTCTCCCATCTACTGGTAGTACAACTCCAGGTTCATCCCATCGTGGATTTCATCTGAGGAGGTTATAGCTAAGAACAAGTCGACTATGATTAAACATGGTTGTTGTTTTTTTTAAATGATCGGACTAAAAGGTTTCTCCTAAATCACTTGAACATCAAACCTCTGTATGCCAATAATGTACAGAACATTTTAGTTTCCTATTAGCTTGACGGGAACATCCATAATGTTTCGTTAGAGTAATACACCCAAAACAGAGATTGGTCTGCTTGGTGTTTACACAAATATGCTCAAATACAATCACGTTCTGTACTGTTTCCATTCTCTAAAATGACTTTTTGCTTTCATTTGCTGAGTAAATTAAGTACATATATTACTATTGTTTAACACATTCATAGAATTACACTTATGTTCAATAGTTGTGCCTATTACCCAAAGGTGCATCACTAAATGTGCCCCTGCGTTCACTGAGTGCCCACTCAGATTGAACAAGTGGTATAAAAGCCCACCTTCATCATATGATTAACACTAAACTGACTTGACTGCTTWTATGACAAACTGTGATGTATTTTTTTGTGATGTAACTTAAAATAAATCCAACTAGTGAATATGTTGCATTTAAGGATGTGCATTAACCAGAGTAAATGCTGATTTTTTTTCTTCTATTATTATTGTTATAATTATTGACAATGGTACAAAAACCTGTCAATTCCTGGAAATCATTCTTATTTTAAGCTCATGCAACTTTTTTTCTGTTMAATTATTTTTCTTCTTTTTTTACTGTTTCTGCTTGTTAAAAAGCAGCAAACCATCAGATTATATCTAAACTTAGCACAAAAAGAAAGTAAATTTTGTGTTTAGTAAATTATGTCTTTAACAATGCTCCTTGGCAAAAAAAAAATCTTATACCTGATTGGCAGTGCCTGGGTGTACCAGAAGCTTAAAAAGTGTTGATAGCAACAGCAAAATAAGCTGTTTGGCAGAGAAGATTTCACTAAATTTTCATGTGCACAACCCATATACTCACTTCTACTGCTCATCCCACAAAAGCATGTTCCTAACAAATGTGGCACCATTTAAAAAAGAAATTAATAGGCTTTCCAACAATATAAGATTCATTGCCAAGAGGCACTGTTATAACAATGTAATAGTCTACCAAACACAAATTTCTTTACTTTGTGTCATGTATAATTTGTACAGCTTTACAAAAAACTGAATAACTTCCAGAACATTAAATCACAAACTTTAATTTTACTGAGTGAAATTAGAATGAAGAGATGGTTAGAAATGATTGTAGTGGAAACCCGTCTTGAAATCTAAAYGGATCTTTAAAAAACTCTCATGCAGAATCGATCCTGAGATATTGAAATAATWTTTGTTGAAGGATACAGTCACCAAGAGTCACGTGGTCCTTGAAAATAGTATACCTGTAAAACAAAGAACACTTTCCATTACTCAACGTAAACAATATTTATGGTGTGAAGTTGCATTAAATGTAGGAATCTTACCATTTCTTTAAAACGATCTTGTCGTATCGTGTTCCTGTCTGAGCAGCAATGAGCTTCTTCAGGTCTCCAATGGTATCTTCTGAGCTGAATTTGATGGTTAAGAAGCAGACTGATTGTACACAAAGCATTCAAAAATACAGAGCATCTTTTGGCGGTAATAAGAGTTTAACTCTGCAAAGATGTTTCGCTTAAAGGTTTGTCAAACTAAAATCCAGATTTCCATTTTTTTTAAATCTATGAATTTATAACACGTCAATGTTATGGTTGTGCTCTTGTTGGGCTAAATATGATTCTGTATTACATAATATAAATACATTGCCAGTGTTTACCGTAATTTACACAAGAAATGTTACTCATTATAGAGTGTTTTGGAAGTAGAGGACAAAGTGTGATAAGACTACAACGAGGTTGATTCGCTTTGAAAACTTGTCAAGATTAGTTTTATTTTCTTAACTTGAACATACTGAACAAGGTCGACTAATTTCTTGACTAAAAGCCATCCATGATGMTGCTGCTGCTGCCAGGGAAGGATACTTGCATTTGACTCGGACTTTCTTGCCCAGACGATCGTTGCAAACCACCTCAATCATTTTGAGTTCCTGTAAAATTAAAAGGAGGGAAGACGTAAAAGACACAAATTAAACTATTACATTAATTAGAGCAATTATGCTCGAATAAGTTTGAATAGAACAGTTAAAAAAATACGTCGAATAACAAGGTGCGACAACATAAAACACAACGTGTTTACTTAAAATTAGCTTACATGCTAACAACAATATCGCAGAGTAGTATTTGTTGTTGTACACTTCTAGACTCAACAGAAAAGCACGTATTTAAACTAACGTTGTTTCATTACCCTAATTTACTAAGAATAAAAAAAATAAATGTGCATTTCATACCTAGAAAATGATGAAATATTGCTTATTTCCCAGATGAAATTTTCTCGAACGCTCTTAGCACGATTGGCGTAAAGTAGACTTGTTGTTCACCCCTCCACCAATCAAATAAACCACACAATGATTGACATCCTTATAAACCAATAAGAAATAGGAACTCTCTCATTTAAGGCGGGACAAGAACTGAAAACAATTTGTGCCGTAAACAGGTTGTCAACTGTCGCGTGTCTACCCGCATCGTTGCAACATTGAATTAAAATTTTGAAAACGCTTCTGTAGAGTACAGAACATGGCAGATGAAGAGAATTTACCGCCCGGATGGGAGAAAAGAATGAGCCGCAGTTCAGGTAATGAAACACAAACCACGGAAGGCTGAAAAAGCGCCATGCAACTTTATGAATGTAGTTTGTTCTAAACTTAGCATTAGCTAGCAGCGCGTGCATCGTGTTGTTGGGAAGAAGCGAGTCAGGGGAAACTTAACCTGTAACAAATCTTAACTAAAACTAGCGTGGCGTAAGTTGAGCGTAGTTTGTGTTTAAATGGAGGCACTGTTTGACTGTAAATAGTTGTGCCGATTCATTCASCTCCGCTGCTGCTGCAGGGCCTGGTATGACGTCACCCCCGCCCAGGTGCTTCCCGTGAAAACAGCGCGAGACTCAGAGATCCTGCACGTCTTAGCTACACTCAGCAGTTTCTGCACTTTATTCCCCATCCATGCCTCTGACCCACTTAAAAAGTCAAGCCAGTCAACTTGCAGAAAATCAAAGAATTACAGAAAGTTGGAAGTTAAAAACAGCATATATAACAAATGTAAAACTACCTAACAAAAGGCTTCATGTGCAGCAAAATCCTTAATAAAATAAAAGTTTGAAAAGCAGTGTCAGTTGTTCATAAAACAAAACAAAAAAAATGCAGCCAAGCAAGCCTGATATATGCAGCTCCATGGTGTTTATAGTCATTCTGTTTCTTGTACAATATTAGCCCCTCAAAACCTTTAAGTTTCTGTAGCACTGAGTTCACATCCTGCTGTGAACAAACTGGGCCATTACATTCACAAAGCCTAAGATTTAATTATATATTCGAAACAGCGATCAGTGTTTATCTCAGTGTCATCACAGCTGTAATTTGACATGCTGTAATTTAATAAAACCGATACAAACATCTAACATGGGAGTTCTTTCCTTGTTCTTGCAGGAAAAGTGTACTACTTTAATCACATCACCAATGCAAGCCAGTGGGAACGTCCAGTGGGAGATGGCCGTGGAGAGCCAGAAAAGGTGAACTAACTTTAATGTATAACAGGTTGTTCTGTGGTTTGAAATCGTTTAATTTGATTACAGTTATTGATATTGATAGAGACGGACATGGTTTAAAGATCTGTAGTTTACTGATGTCTTTTTTTTGTTTGTTTTTACTCGTTTTTCTGTCCTCCGTCGTGTTTCTGCTGTAGCTTCTGAATTTCCCCATTGTGCATTAAATAAAGCTATTTTTGTTTGAATGAAAGGTCTGATGAATTAATATTTATTTTTAATTGTCAGTTATAATTATTCTATTTTGTTTTGCCCCCTTTTTTTTTCCCAGGTCCGCTGTTCTCACCTGCTGGTGAAACACAATCAGTCACGCCGTCCATCCTCCTGGAGGGAACAAAATATTACACGAAGTAAAGACGAGGCGTTGGAGCTCATTCAGAGTGAGTCTGTCAGAGCAGAGGAGGAGAGCGGAGGTTGTTCTGCTGCAGTCTGACTGCTTCGTGTCTTGTTTTTTGTTTTGTTTTGTTTTTTTCTGTGCAGAGTACATAGAACAGATCAAGTCTGGACATGAGTCGTTCGAGTCTTTAGCCTCGCAGTTCAGCGACTGTAGCTCAGCCAAGAACGGCGGAGATCTGGGACTGTTCGGCAGAGGTAAACAACACCACATCACATCCGGGTCAGTCTCTGTTCCACCAGCTGCTGTGGCTCAGTCCGGTCTCACTTTCTGGTTTTCTGAGTAGTTAAATTGAGTTGCACTGCCTGGCCAAAAAAAAAAAAAAAAAAGGTCATACGCTCTAATATTTTGTTGGACCGCCTTTAGCTTTGATTACAGCAAACATTTACTGTGACATTGTTTGGATAAGCTTCTGCAATGTCACAAGATTTATTTCCATCCAGTGTTGTATTCATTTTTCATTAAGATGTTGCATTGATGATGGTAGAGTCTGACCTTCTCCAGCACATCCCAAACATTCTCAGTGGACTCTGTGGAGCCGATCCCTGTGTGAAAATGATGTCTCTTACTCCCTGAACCACTCTTTCACAATTCCAGCCCAATGAATCCTAAAATTATCATCTTAGAATAAACCCGTATCATCAGGGAGGAAACAATCCATTGATGGAATAACCTGGTCCTTCAGTATATTCAGGTAGTCAGCTGACCTCCTTCTTTGARCACAAACTGTTGCTGAAYMTGAACAACTGCAGCAACCTCAGATCATAGACCTTAGTTAAATCCAGGTCAGGGTTCCTGCAGATCCTTAAAAAGTCTTAAAAGGCATTGAATTCATCAGTCCAAAAATAAGGCCTTAATTAGCCTTAAAATGTCTTAAATCAATCTTCAGATGTCTTAAAAATGTTAACACATTGTAAATAGGATTAGTGTAATTCATCTCAAATATTAAAATAATTGGTAGCATTTTTTTTAAATATTTACTTGCAGACATTCCCCTTTGACATCACTTCCTGTTATTTCACATGCAAATATCTCAACAACTGTCCATGTCCGTCTGAACAACGTGAAATGCATTTTGTAATATGTTAATAATGTTGTCTTTCCAAAAATGCATTCACATTTCTTACAAAAAATTGATATCACTTTAAGACCCCTCTGCGGGTCCTAAAACTCCAAATTTTGGGTTGTTAGAGGATTTCCTGAAATTAAATTAAGTTTAAAACTGACTGTTAAGAACGTTTCTGCTATAGTTAGATATGGATAAAAATATTTGGTTTATTATCAATATTTGAATACTTCAACCAAAAACACTTTCTGCCAGTTTTTTTATTTTATTTTTTGTCATTTATTTATTATAAAATTGGTCTTAAATTTAATTTCACTTGACATTAAAAAGTCTTAAAAAGTCTTAAATTTAACTTGCTTTAAACTGTAGGAAC